CATAAATATTATATTAATTTATATTTTATCATTTTTTCAGGAAATGGCTGCTGGTGCCTTATAATATCAAAATTGAGGTAATATTCAATTTTTTTTATTATGTTATTTAATTATATTTCTTAATTTGTATTATTATACTTATTTTTTAATTATGTCTTAATTCTTAGTTTTAGTAAATAAATTCAATAATTTTTTTTTTTGTAAAATTTAAATTTAAATTTATTTTTTATAATATTAACTATTATAAATTAAGATTGATCATCCCATAATCTTTTTGGTTTGGAGGACATTCATTATTAAATGTGTATATATATTTTATAGCTTATGTGTTAGATGGCTGGTAATACTATTATTTTATATTAACAGTTTTTTGGTTTTAACTAAATTATATACTTTTTTTTTTTTTTCGGTTGCAAAAAGGGGAATGGTGTAAATTTCTTTTTTTTCAATTCCTAAACCGTATTACTGATTAAAGCTTTGTCGGTAAAATGCAATTTTTTTTTTGGGTTGCAAAAAGGGGAATGGTGTAAATTTCTTTTTTTTTTTAATTCCTAAACCAAATTACCGATTAAAGCTTTGTCGGTAAAATGAAAAATTTTTTTTTCCTTGGTAATTGCCGAATGGAACTTTGTCGGTAAATTGTATATAACCAATTAATTCTTGTAAATCGGCAATTCTTTTACAAATTTCTAAACCAACTTCCCGATTAATTCTTTGTCGGTAACTTACTGACATGCTGACCGGATGCAATAAACGAGGTAACACAAGGATGCAGTAAACGAGGTCTACAGGTAGAGATGTGAAGCTCGTCGGTAATGGACACCTTGACTTACGTGAAAAGCTCCGGCAGTATGGTTCCGATAGTTGTTTTGAGACATATGTTTTGTCGGTAATTTGGACCAAATTATCGACGTAACTCCATCTCACATCGGTGAAGTTATTACCAAGGAAGCCAACGCCGACAAGTGTATTACCGACAAAGTATAAGTTGGAAAATTTCTTTACCGACAAGCTCTCTCCTGATTTCCGACATGGTATTTCATCGATAATTCTGTGTATCCTTGTAGTGAATGAATATAATAAAAAGTGCTTGCTAATTTCTTAATTCTATGGGGAAAAGTTCCCATCTAGCATTTATATTAAATTAACACACTTTTTATTCATTAATTTTTATAAAAAATAAAAAAAATTAATATTGATTTTAACATTAATAACATGTAACTTAATTTAATTAATTAATTATTAAAATTAAAAATAAATTTTTTTTTGTTTGAACCTTCTGGTATCCGAAAACCCACTGAATCACATATTAATCCGGATTCGAGTCGGATAGAACCTAACGAGTAATAAAGCTTCAAGAGTTTTAATGAAACTGTATTTTCAGATCTTAAAATCAAAATTTTTGATTAAATTAAAAGAGTCTTTATCAACTCATCTACCCACTCGTTGATATTAAATTTTATTTTCATTATAAAACTTAATATTAAAAAATATATTAATTATTTTTTTAACCTATATTTTTAACCAAAAACACTC